TACACCCTTGGCTGATGGGCACACTTATACCCCCATTCTACACCGGTAGATGAAGAAAATCCTTTCCTGTCACCTCCCTCCTGTACCAGCCCATCTGCAGGGTTTTGCACCAGAGAATCAGAAAACAGAATTTCAAAGCCATCCCAAGGAAAAGCCTCTTGGCTAAAGTCCTGGGATTTCTTACTTATTTACATTTTCTTCCTTGTACTTTGAACATATCTGAAGTTATTCCTTATTTTCTTAATGTGTAAGCCTTCCCTGAGACAAATGCACCAAGTAGAACCAGTCAGGGGTGCAGATCTGGTGCCAAGGAGACATGATTTACGTTACATGCAAATCTACTTTGGCAGCACATGAGCTTTCCTTTCATCCAAATGGCTTAAAGCAAATGAAAACTGGCCTCAGCATGGATATACTGCCCTGGAAAGAAAACCAAATGGGTGTAGTCTGAGAGCAGTATCTGAGACAGCTGTGCCTCATTTGTAGCTTCACTGGTAGGGTTTTGAATGGAGCAGAATGTAAACCTCTCAGGAACACTATTTTCCAGTACCTAATGCAGTGCTCTGACATCCTCACAGTCAGGTGAAAGCATCTCCTCTGCCAGATCAAGGGGCAGAACAAATGCCAACCCGGCAGACTGAGGCAGGGATGCCCCGAAGGCAGCTCTCACGATGACGTTCCTCAGTCACTATTGTAATTATGTCAGATTAACAGTGATTTACAGCTAGGCTGGCACCCAGGGCCACAGAGCAGGAGGGCAACCCCAAAGCTGCACTGCACAAACACCTGCCATAAAACCATAGCCATGGGGAAGGACAAGGATGCAGACACTTGGGTGAGTATCAAACTGTAATAGCTGCTCCTGACCTAAAGCAGTGTAAAGGAGAGGGATGAAGTACAGCTGCCCTGTAGAAAATACCCAGATCAGTTTGGGTGACAGAAGTTGAGTAATGGTTGCAGCACTGTTTTTGTTGTTTGTTTGTTTGTTTTTTTAACACCACAGGACTGATATGTCTCCTGTGAGACCGTTATCTCTTAGCAACTGTCTTTGGTTTTCTCTGCTGCATCCTCAGCAGGAATAAGTACACTGGGTGCCCACCACTGCTCCAGTGAGGCTGTACTGGGTGAGGCACACATTAGCTCTCTGGACTGTAAAACATGTCTGGAAGGTTTGGGAATATGATTCCAATGGCAATTGTAGAGATGCCTAATGATACAGCTCAGCTGCTTGCTTTGGCACATTTCACAGAAGTGGTTTCCACCAGCTCTGCTGAAGGAAAATCATCTTCTCCCATTCCTCCTCCTGTTACCAACACTGCTGATGGTTAAGCTTAGATTTTCAGCTTGCACTTTTGCCCCTTGAGGTGTAAGATACCAGTCAAGTACTTCACTAAGGTCCTCACCCTTCACAGTTCTCCCTCAGTTCTTCTGTGTCATAAGCCCTATATACCACAGGCACCGATTCTAGACAGGCATCTAAAAAGTTATGCCTGTCTAGCATCAAAACACATGATTACACAGCTAATTTTCAGTAATAGTAACCATAAACAGGAGGAGAGAAGGGAACTAATGTAGAAATTGCGTAGTGACAGATCAAGACAACTCCAGCTGCTAAGGTTACCCAGAGGTGAATGTTGACACAAGCCCACAGGTACTCAGCAAGGAGATGGCCAGAGACAAGATGTAATGAGGTGGTCTCAGGGGAGCCGACTCATTTCAGATTGTGGTGTCCAACCTTATCTAGGGCAGCACTGCTGCCTCCCAGCTATGAATGTTCGAGTGTTTATGAAAACCTGACAAGGTATCTGCAAGATATTTAATGCAAAATACTGTGAGGGGCAAAGTTGTTAATGCTTGCTTTGGTCGAGGAAATAGCTGAGAATTGTGCTGGCAAAACTACTGAGCCCTGAGGAAAAGGGACTATTCTAGCTATAAAGTCGTTTTTCATTCTAGGCTAATGATAATCCAAGGACGTTAGTATTGCACACATTAGTAGTTAAAGCTGCATCAATTTAGACCAGAAAAGCTGTTTGGGTATAGCAATAATTAACTATTAAATCCAAAAAGGTCACTTGTCCATCCCTGAAGCACTCTACCGAGATCTCTCAGGAATGTGGTATGTTAAAAAGCAAACTCAGGGCTACCAATGGACTTGAGTGAAGAAGCAAGACCCTCATTCTTTCTTGCAGCAGAGCAATCCAGGAGGAATTTTTCTAAAGGAATTGAGTATACAACATAAAGAAGAGCAAAAAATTCAGGCATTCTGTCTCTTCTGGACAGAAATTGAACTGATAATTGTATTCTGCTGCAATAAACTAAGCAACCAGATGTTTCAGATAATTAGTATTAAAGTCAAATTTTTCTAGCAGCTGTTTTCCTTGTGAAAGACAAGCAGTTTATCAGCCTGGACAAACTCTTCCAACAGGATGTCTAAGACGTGATCAAGACACAAAATGCTATTTGCATATATTTTATATATATATATCTATATATTTATATATGTACCTATATATATATTTACATATATAGATATTTTTATATATATTTTTATATATATCTATATATAGATATATCTATATCTATCTATCTATATATTTTATATATATATATTTTATATATATCTATATATTCAAAGCTTTAAAGCATAGACTTGAATATTGGTAACTGCAGTAGCATGTGCAGAGGTTTCCATCTGCCTCCAGAGTTGAGGCACTTGATGAGTTATATAAGTTTTCACAGCTTTGCTGCCTCCAGCATCTAACCTAGAGTAGGTAAAAGTTGACTGGAAAGACCAGCATGCCCCAAAAATGTAGGTTGTTATCTTTTTTAGGGAATTTTAAGACTTCCCCTACTATAACTCTGTATGCTGAAGTATTTAAGAGACATCACTCTATTTTCACCTACTTAAAAGTCTGTGAGCTTGTCCATCCAGTTTATAACACGCTACAGCATCCACCTGGAGCAAAGCATCTGTCTAGCCATGTTAATTGAGTTAATCTGCAAATCTACCCATCTAGAGACCTCGCTACCTTCCTAACTTCAGGACTTTTATAGCAGAGGTCCCTAAATAAACATCTTAGGAAGGAGATGAGCAGTTCTAATATCTAAAAAGATTTTAAAAAAATGAGCCTTTTTTGGGCTTCTTTGGTGGAAGAACCATTTTTCCCTGGTTGGAAAACAAACACCCTATGAACTCGCGGAAACCAGTATGGATGGAAGAGCCAGTTTTTCACGGCCTCATGCAAAAACCTTGGCATTTGAGGCCTCAGGTAGCTTCTAACGTGCATCTTGTGAAGCTTGCAATGTCTAAAGGACTGATCTGTATCTCATTAAACTGAAGACCACTCAGCTACAAGCACCAGACTGTTCTCCCCACTAATTGTTTGATAACCTCAGGCCATCAGTGTTAGAGACTGTGTCCCTGGGGTAGATGGGACTATTGACACCTCTTGATGTGGCCCAGACCTGCTGGAAAAGCTGTGGCAAGCCAAAGTTCAGCATGGGAGAAAGGTGTTGGCAGTTGAGGAGCAAAGGGCAGGAACTGACCGTGCCAGGCCTTTCCCTGTTCTTTCTATCAATGGTTTGCAGTTCTGCAGGGCAATGTGCACCTGCTGATCTGGGTTCATCAACCTGGGTGGAGACTCTGCTCAAGAGTAATTTTCAGCATCGTGTTTACTAAAGTTACTCCCATAAAAGTAGGCCACAATAAAAAGCCCCCAAGCGATGAGAGTATTTTGGGAGGAGAAACTCAAGAAGAGTGCAGGAAGGAAAAAAAAAAGGCTCATTTAAAATATCAGTTCTTTTGACTTCCTGGTGATGACTGGCTTGTGCCTTGAAAAATTAGAATGTTCTTAAGTTCCATTTTCACAGGTATCTTCTGAGGTGTTCAGGAGTTTCAAACAGCCACTGCCTCAGCCACCTTTGAAAAGAAATTTAGGATCCAAATCATGACTTATTTCTGAGAAATGTAGCCTGCGTTTCCACAGAAAACTGTTCCTCTCAAAGGCCACGAGCATCTCAGTACTAAATGGATCATTATGGATTTAAACTTACACAAAACTGGAAGGTTAATAACATAAGGAAGTCAGGTAGCAGCCCCCAGTGTGGATCCAGAAACTAACTGGAAAAGTGCACTCAAGGAGTGAAATAGATCAGGTTTTGCTATTGTGCCAGCAAGGAATGTGATCTGTAATAGTAGAAGCGAAGATTAGTGGTTTTTAACAGAAGATATCTCTTGAAATTAGAACTCGAGGTAGGGGTGACCACAAAGGGCACCACTGGAAGGGCTGGGACACGAAGGACAGGCAGGGTGGCCCACGTGGCAGCGGCAACGCGACGCACGACACCTTCTGCCGGTCCTTTTAAATGACCGCTTAATTTTTGCAGGGCCTCCCTTCCCCTTTGCAAAAGGACAACTACAGCTGTATGAAATTAGGGCGCCTGGGGCAGGGGGGTGGGTGACACCTGGAAGGAGGTGCCGGAGAGACCAACGCGGGGGCACAACCTGCGTGAAAGAACCTCCGTTCCCATCGCCGCGCGGGAGCATCCCCGCTCCCTCCGCTCGCGGCTGCGGGTCCGGAGGGCACTCGGGGCTGGGGGGAGGTCGCTGCGGCCGCTTCCCCCGCGGCGACAAGAACCGGCGGATCCCGGGACGGGGCCGCCCCGCCCGCCTCCGCGGAGCCTCCGCCAGCCCCATCCCCGTCCACATCCCCATCCCCGCGCGTTCCCCGCCCCTCGCCGGCGGGGGCGCGGATCCGGCCTGCGCGGGGCCGGCGGAGAGAGGGAGCGCGGCCGGGCGAGGGGAGGAGAGAAGCGAGGAGGAGGCGGCGGCGGAGGCGGCGGCGAGCTGGCCATGGCAGCAGCAGCCCGCGGGCGGAGAGGCAGCCGCCGCGGGCTGCCGCTGTGATTGGCACCCCGAGGAGGAGGAGGAGGAGGAGGAAGGCGCGGAGCAGCCGCGGGGCCCGCCATCCCGCGGCGGCGGAGCGGCGGCGCCCGGGAGGATGCCGGGGAAGCGGGGCTCGGCGGGCGGCGGCGGCACCGAGCTCCCGGGGGCCGGCGCGCCGCGGCAGCGCAGGCGGCGGAGGAAGGTCTCCTGCTTCTCCAGCATCCAGCTCTTCCTGGTGTCCGAGTGCGCCCTGATGCTGGCCCAGGGCACGGTGGGAGCCTACCTGGTGAGTGCGGCCGGCCCGCAGCCCCCCGCCCCGGCGGGGCTGAGCCGCGGGCGGGGGTGCGCGGCGGAGCGCGGGGGAAGTTTGGCCGGGGCGGCTCGGCGGGGCAGCCCCCCAGCCCGGAGGGGTCACGGCAGCTCGGCGTTTGGCGGCTGAAATGACTCAGCAGTGCCCAGGGGTCACCCACCCGCTGCCTCCCAACTTCTGCGGCCGGTCCCCGGGACTCCCGAGCGCCCGGAGCGCGGCGGGCGGGCTGGCACTGCTGCGGGCTCCCTGGCCGGCCGGGCACTCCGGTCCGGTGCCAGCCTTCCTGCTTCACAGTGAATAAATACCAAGAAATTCTAGCGGGGCATTTACTTCGTGCCTCCCGCCTTACGCGGTTTTGCTCATCCTCTCAAGTGATGCAGCGGTGCTGAGCGCAGCAGCCCCGCCAGTCCCGGTGTTGGGTACAGAACAGCCAAAATAAGACTTCAGTGCTAAATCTGCATAGTGAGATGTGGTGTCAGAGGCAGAAGTATAGTAGAAGAGTTGGGAAGATGTCCATACGTCTGTGCTTGTGCCTTGGAGCATACAGCCTGTGGAAATGTTCTGCTTCCAGCAGATGTAAGTGTATAGTTGATTTAAATTTCTCAAAATAGATTGCTGGATTTGAGAATTATAGTTTCCATGGAAAAGAAATATATGCATAATCTCTGAGGCTTTTTGAGGCCATACACATAATATATTCTACAGTAAGTGTAAGATCTCTGCATTCGGTACTTGCATTCAGTATTTAGCATTGCTCCTCTCACATGCTCAAACTACTTATGCAAATTTGTACTGAACGTGATCTATAATTTTTCAAGGTATGTGACTAAACTAACCATGGTTAATATTTCCCATTAATATGAAATGGAAATTAGAATTCATCTCTATATAATAAAACATAAGTTTAGTTTGGAACATATTTGTAATTCCAAAAGAAACTACATCAGATCTGATGAGATAAATTTAGCAGTTCTATACCCTACATGAGTATAGGTGGGTATAACTTAATTTGTAGGAGCCTGACAGGAACATGCCTCTTTTATGTGAGTAATACCTTAGTAAGTAAATACATTGTTTCCAATGGGCTGCTTGCAAAATGAGCTGTCAGTGTGAATGAGTGTGGGGTAATCTGTCCTCAAAGTAATAGCCAGGGAAGAGCCCACGGGTGATGTCACCCAGTGGGCACCAGTGTGCTGGAAATGTATGGATCTGCTAGAGGACTGTATGTTGGCACATTTCACTACAGTGTCTGATCAGCAGCAATAGTCCCTAATGTGGCATTTTCCTCAAACTCCTTTGCATTGCTCTCTCCTCATCGGTTCAGCATTTCTTTTCCTGTTTTCCCCAACTCTTGGTGCGTGCTTTCTACCAGAGTAGAGCACTCGCTCCCTCTCACTCCTTTGGAGTGTTTCATGCACCCCAGCCCCACAGGCTGGAAATGACCACTGCCATCACGATTCCTGTACCCTCCCTCCTCCGAGGGATGAAATTCAGCTGAGGTGCTGCTGTCTCTACTCTCAGCCCTTCTCTGTGCCTGTATCCTGAGCGGCATGACAGCAATGCCCCGTGGCCAGCCAGATCCACAGGCAGTAACAGACAACTGGTCAGTGGAGGGGAGGGAAGAAGAAAAGCAAACTAAAAACAATCCCCAGCATGCATAAGCAGTGGCCCAGCTGCACTGGGCAAGTGTTCCTCTGTTCCCTGTATAATTTATCTGCCATCATTGCAAATACCATGCAGCTCTTCATACAATGAACAGATGCAAATGTGGAATTATCTTTGGAGGGTACATGTGTGCTTTAAGTGAGCCTGGCCAGTGCTGTGCTTACAGGTGCTGCAGGGGAGTGAGAGCAGGAGCAGGAAAGATGCTCTGTGGAAAGTGTGGAGGACATAATCGTTTTTGCAGATGGAGTGTCCCATGAGGCCAAGTGCTGTTCTCAGGTGCTGTCATGGGGTGAAATCAGTGGAGGCACTGCAGAGTTGCTCAGGTGTAACTGCAGGTGGATATTCATTTACTCAGGCTCCTGGGATGAGTGGGGATTGGCTGTGGTCTGCCAGGCTGCTCCCCAAGGGACAAATTAGCGGGTGAGACAAAGCAGAGAGCAAACAGACAGACAGACAAATAGGGAGATGCTGTGTAGGACAGGCACAGTGTGTAGTTCTGGGCAATTGAATAAACTACTAATTTTAGCCTGTCAGCAGTGAGGGAGTACTGTATTCATACTTCTGCTTTCCTTGGCCACAGTTGTGACTTTCCCTAGTTATTTGTAACTCAGGAAGAGAAACCTTTTTTTGCCTTATACGGCGACAAGTTGGTTTCCTCAGTTATTGTCTGCCTTGTTCTGCACAGGGAGACCATGAGGGCAAAAACTCAGCTTGTTAAGAAAACAAGGCAGAGGCTTGGCTTCTCAGGAGTGATTGAAGAGCTCAGTTTGGATTGGGCTTGGCTTTCATATCAATACATTTAGAAGTGGATGTTGCTATTTCTTTTTAGAGACGTAAAAAACCTTCCTTTTTTCCATGTTCACTGTACAATAAACCAGCAGTGCCCACTTGAATGTATGTACAAAGTATACATTCATTATGTGGTTTTGAAGCAAAGATCATTCACTTTTATTCGTTCATAAAACATTGTGCTTGCCAACAGGGCTTTATAAATAATAAATGCTGATAAAAATCTATATAAAGTCCAATTCTTTTCCCACAGAACTCAGCAGTGAAAATACCCCAGGACGCCAACAGTGGATGTCTGTGGTGAAGTGGTACAGTGCCTCTGAGGTTCTTCATGTGAAGTTTTAGGGAGTATTTGATCAATGTCACGTTCCAAAATATTTGTCTATTATTATTCTTGCTGTTTGCAAAATGCACATGTTCCAAAATTACTTGGTGCCATATCCTGCATAGTTTATGCAAATACAAGCCTGTGCTGCTGCCTTAATTTCTGGGGCTGCTGAATACACCCTATTATTTGCATATTCTTGTAAGGTTTTGTGTATGCATTTATTTGGCTTCATCTAATTACTTCTGCGCGCTTTTGGAAACTTGAATTTCCCAGCAACTGCAGTGGCAGTGGGGAAACTGCTGCTTGTAGTCTGCAGGCATTCCTGCTGCAGAAGTTACTCAGGGTTTTCGCAGCAACTTTTCAAAGCCCAGCTGATTTTCCCCCCGCGGTTGCTCTCCCGCAGCGTTGGGCAGTGGATTAAAGAGCTGAGCGTTGTTGGTGCAGATGGCACCAGGAGGGAAAGGCTGGAACCTCCACTCTCCAGCCGGAGCCTTTTGCCTTTCGGGTGAATGCAGCAGTGTGATCAGTCGTGCTGGCCGTGCAGCGATGAGGATTTTGATAAGGCTGATTCACATACCTTGGCAACACTTCCCTCCCTGTCCTTCCCCCTCCCTCCGCCATGAATTCCTACGTGCACTATATTTTGGAATATTTTCACTGGTAATAACGTTCCAAGTGCTCCTGACGGTTTATCACTGAGGCATTTCATCACCCTGCCAGTCAAATCTTTTGCCCGGCCAGTGGTGAAATCATTGCTTGAGCAGAAGGTGAAGAGCTCTCGTTTGACAGCCACAGTTTGTGGAGCAGGAGCACAATTTAATTTCCCGTCCTAGCCTTTAGCCTCGACTCGCTCCGGTTCAAACTGACCTACTTGCAAGCATCCAACATCTGCCAAAGTCATGGGCTCCTTTAGATAAAGGGCATGCATATGGGAAGTGTGTTGGGAACCAGTTCTGTGGTGTGCTCTGCGGAGCTGTTTTTACAGAGCTTTACTGAGCTGTCTCTGTTTGCTGCAGCTTTGAATGCAGCTATTCATGTGTTTTATCAAGTGATAGAGGATGACTGGCCTGAGCATGGGATGGAAAGGAAAATAATTGGTCCGTCCCAAGGAGGGTGCATTGGTGTTTGCGTGGGAATGAATGCCAAATTGTTTCTTGTTTTGCTGAATGAAAACTTTTGAGCCACACTTAACTTCCCAGGGAGAGGTTTGCCTGTGCAGCAGTGTTTCACTGCAGACTGCAAAAGCCCTCTTAACGTGTCTGCAGTAAAATAGTGCTGTGTGAGTTCAGGTGAGAGTGTGTGTGAGAGACAAGCTCCTTCTGTGCAATTTTATTGCCGCTGGGGTTTGGGATATTAATGAAAATCTTGGCATTCCATCTTCAGGAAAAAAAAAGTATGAAAGATAAATACAGAAGTTAATCATCAAAGGGTTCCTGGTGGAACAAACAGAAATAGGGGTCCTGTGTGATGAACACCAGGGAACTGAGGGGTTAAGAGCAGAATTTGGCTCTTGGATTTTTTAAGTTGTATTGGTGCTCAAGCCCTTCCCCTCCCATGTTAAATTTGACAAATGCAAATACTGTGTTCCTATTGTACAGACCTGGTCAAACACTCTTTGAAGTCAGTGGTGAGGTCTGTGTGGAGGATGTCCTTAAAGACAGTTTTTGGAAATACTGCAGTGCTTCAGAGCTTTCTGTTGTGCTTGGTGCTGCACAATAGAATTTTCCCCTGAGTTTTCACAGACTGAGTTGAGTGGGTGAGAGAAGTGTCGCAGGTGGGGAAACTGAGGCAGAGATTAAGAGCTTGATTCTGTTGCTGAAGCTAATGATAAAGCTTTTGCTTGGTTGACAGTAGCAGAGCCTGAATGTCTTAGGCATGGGCAGACTTAACTGCAAGAGCAGTTTTTTCCATTTAATTTATTATTGTTTTTAATAAACTGTTTGTTTTCCTAGAATAAGAATCAGCTTTAAAATACTGCTGTCTTTTTTCTTCTCACCGATCTCAGCAGTGCTGAGTAATAAATTAGCTGTAATGTTCATAATTTATTTGTCACTGAGGTATTTAAGGGGCAAAAAAACCCCATGGAGTGAAAATAAATGTTTTAGTGGGGATGAAGATTGCCAAGCATTGGCTGGTTATTGCTTACCGTTCATTTTCCCTTAATATATCTATGCTGGCAATGTTATTTCTGGAA